CACAGTGGGCTGGGCCCAGCTTGGCACCTTGGAGTATTTCACAGTGTTTTCCATGCTATTAGTGACTTACACTTCCCAGTAGCAGCTCTCAATCCTTGGCAGCCAGAAAGCTACTTCATTAAGAGGTGACAGATCTGAACCACAAAGAACCAACCTGACTGGGAGCAGGAATGGGTGCTGAGATGGGAGCGAACACTGGAGTGAGAACATCTCCCGGAATTAAAGCTGCTGCCTTCTCCGGGAGCGCCTCACCACTTCCCACACAGAAACAGAGGCCCTGGGCTTGGTGCATGTGCCCTGAATCTTAGGGCGGCTGTGATGGGGATAAGACAATGATTCCTGGTTCCCTTTGGCCCTGTCACTGTCTGAGGACGGAGTGGTTCAGGATGCCTCCTACAGAGGGATGTTGTCACCGCTTGCTAACATGACATTGATGGGAACGGACACATCCCCGGGGTCCTTGCTGTAAGGACGGCCCTGGCACAGGGTGGATGGACAGATTCACTCACCTGCAGGTGTGCTCAATACAAGGTGTGCTTTTCTCTTCCACTCGGCTGCCCCTTCCCAGGTTTCCTAAGAACAAGGAGCATTTGGAAAAACAACTTCTCTGCCCCAGGGAGAGCCTGTGCTCAGCTGGGAGTGGTTGCAGGCCCGGGGCTGGGCAGAGCATCCACTTCAAACTCGTGTCAGAGGCTCGAGGGAGGGGAGGCAGTAAGCTAGATCAATCCCTCCCTTAGCTCATTCACGCAAAGCAGCCGGAGAATGTGCTCACCGGAGACCAGGGGAAACACAGCAGGCTGAGGGCAGAGGGGCACCCCGAAGCGAGGTCCCTGGCCACCCATCACGTGCCAACTTCTGTACCCTGAGCAAGGAGCCACCCATGGTCACTACTTTGGAGAATGCCCAGGCTGGGCCACCCTGCACACTTCCACAGGCTCTTTGGATATGCAGTGGCTGGCTGTTAATTGAGCGGGATTTAGGTTAACCTTGATGGAGAAAACTGAGATAAAGAACACGGGGGTGGGGGGCGCCTTCAAAGAAGTGGATATGCTGTCATTATGCTTTTATCATTTAAAAAAAACCCAACAAAGCTATCTCTCCAGTTTGCTTGTACACTTGAGCTCAATAGCCCTGAAAATCCGCACAATCAAGCTGCTAAGGGCACTGCTGTCAAATCAGCTCCCGCTGGGCTTGGCTAAGCTTCCTCTTTAACCCACTGCCCTGCTGCCAAGCCCACCGTGTCTGCCAAGGTCTTTGGGCCTCTCGTGCCACCCCAGCGCCCCCTGAGCCCTCGCCCTCTCCTCCACAGGTAAGGTTACCCCTGTCCAGGAGGGTGAAGGTGAGACTCCAGAAAACAATGATTTTGGAAGCAGAGAAATGAAGCTCCCCTGAGCGGTGCCCATGCATTCCACCTGGCCTGGCAGCAGCTCCTCCGGCCCAGAGTGCCTGCGAGCTGCCTGCATCTGCTTGTTACTTCTATCCAAGACACAAGGTGCTCTTCATCTTGGTGTGTGGATCTAAAGGTATTTTGCTATCAAGATGAATGGAAAACGTTTGTTTTTTTCCTGTATGTTTGAAATACTAATAAAAATATTTAAGACAAAAATCCCAAACGAAGCAGGCTCCTGGGGGCAGTCAGCCATAGACAGCTGCTGTAGTGATCAAGAGGGAAGCCACCTCGTCCTGACTTTGGCCCAGTGCCAAAGACACTGCTTGACAGATTTCATGCACAAGCCCAAACCTGACAAGGTACTTTCCACCTTCTGGGCCAGGAGCTGGGGAATGCTCTGTGCGGCCGGTCCTCCTGCAATCCGCAGCTCCTCCGCCGCTCAGAAAAAGAGCTCAGAGACTTCCCTGATTCCAGAAGCGGTATGAACTGGAGTGTGGGGGTGGGGGAGCAAGATGTTAGGGGACCCCCAGGGATGCGGGCAGTGCTGACAGGGACACTGTGGTCAGTCTGCTGTCACCTGATGTCTTCTTGTAAGAGGACATTTAGAGCTTGCTTCCCCAGGGCACTTTATTTAGGAAGTCCCCTACAAATGATCTCTGCCGCTCAAGGAGCTGGGTTGGCTGGAATACTCTGGTTGCTTGTCTTTCACTGTGAAAGAAAGAACCCGGCCCTGGGGCACAGCTCTCTCCTGGTCCTGTTGGGACTGGCTGCACTGTCTACAAATTATCCTGCCATGGTAGGCACCGTGGCCGTGGTAGGCACCATGCTGTGTGACTTTGGCCAAACCACTTCACCTGTGAGCCTCAGTTTCCTTACCTGTCAGAGGACAGTGACAAAAACTCCTTCATTAAAAAAAGTGGTGGGTCAGGCGCAGTAGCTCATGCCTGTAATCCCAGCACTTTGGGAGGCCAAATCAGGCCTATCATGAGGTCAAGAGATCGAGACCATCCTGGCCAACATGCTGGGACACTGTGGTCAGTCTGGTGTCGCCTAATGTCAAAAATACAGAATTACAAAAATTAGCCAGGAGTGATAGCACGCACCTATAGTCCCAGCTACTTGGGAGGCTGAGGCAGGAGAATTGCTTGAACCTGGGAGGTGGAAGTTGCAGTGAGCTGAGATCACACCACTGCACTCCAGCCTGGCGACAGAGGGAGATTCCATCTAGGAAAAAAAAGTGGCGCGTGGGTTTCTGGTGGTAACTTGGAGAAGGGCCGTGGGGTGGCTGGAATGCTGAACGTGCTCACACGTGGGCTGCAAGTTTAGGAAAATGTCACTGAAGTGCACTGCACACCAAGTATGCACCTGTTCCCACTGCATGGTGTGACACAGTTTCACTAAGTGACATGCCCGCTAGCCAGGTCACCCAGAAACAGACCTGCTCCCAGAGCACCCAGGGCCCTAATCAGGCAGGATGTCCTCCATCCCACATTCCCCTCCTCCCCGACTTCTGACACTACATGCTGGCTGTGCCTTTACAAGAATGGAAGCTTCTGGTGCTGCTGTGTGGTGTCTGGCTGCTCTGCTCATGGCTAAGTGGCGAGATGAACTCACATCGCAGTACGTGGCCATGGTCGTTGCACACATATCCACCACGTGTACACGCTATCACTTTTACACCTTCATTTCTGTTGATGGACATCTGAATTGTTTTCATTTTTTTTTAAGAATTGGTTTCTTCTTAAAGAATTTTTTTAAAGAATTGTTTTCATTTTTTTTCACCTGGCCAACATGGTGAAACCCCGTCTCTATTAAAAACACAAAAATTAACCAGGCGTGGTGGCGCGTCCCTGTAATCCCAGGTACTCAGGAGGCTGAGGCAGGAGAATCACTTGAACTTGGGAGGTGGAGGTTGCAGTGAGCGGAGATCATCCCATTGCATTCCAGCCTGGGGGACAAGACGGAAACTCGGTCTCAAAAGAAAAAAAAATTTTTTAAAAACAGGTTTTCACTCTGCTGTCCCAGCTGGAGTCCAGTGGCACGATCACTGCAACCTCCACCTCCTGGACTCAAGCGATCCTCCCGCCATACTCAGCTAGTTTTTATATTTTTTTGTAGAGAGGGTGTCTCACCACGTTGCCTGGGCTTGTCTTGAACTCATGGGCTCAAGCAATCCGCTCACGTCAGCCTCCCAAAGTGTTGGGATTACAAGCATGAGCCACCGTGCCTGGCCTTTTAAGAAAATGTGATACCTTAGGCTGGTGTTTTGTAAATAATAATGGTATTAACCATAGGTGCGGGCTTGGCCCATGGGTATTCCCTGGTTTAGGACCTTGAAGGCAGGACTGGAAATGACCTGGAAACTGCTAGGTGTGTGCACAGAGGTGCATTTTTCTGGGGCTGGGATCCACAGTTTTCATTAGGTTCTCAGGAGGTTCTGTGACCTAGGGAAGGTTAACAAACCACTCTCTTATAATGGATAGACCAAGCTAACTTTTATAAGCTCGAGCGACACCCATGAAAGATCCTCATTCAGGAGACGAGAGGCATCTTCCTCCACACTGGCCCAGTGCGGCCGACCGGCCTCACATGCAGGAGCTGACTGTGGACACGAAGCCTCAGCACTAAGTGCTGGGAGGGCGGGGGCGACAGTCCACATCTTACAGGAGGAAGCAGCTGTCAGCTGTGGATGCCACCAGTTGTCCCATGTCTTCATTCAGATGTGGGAGCAGCCATTCAGAGGACACCCCTGAAAAGCCCCAGACTTGGGGGACAGCTATGGTGGCAAGCTATGGTTCAACCGGCAGGGAACTCGGGGGCCCCAGCCTGTTACTGTCCCTGTGAAACAAGAGGGGGAGAATCTGGTGCCTGGCACTGCCCCTTGCCACTCGCTCTGAGCGCCCTATGGTGGGTGCCACCAGCCCCAGCCTGCCTGGAGCTCCACCTGCAGCACAGCACGTCTCGCTCCAGTTCTCCTGGGAGGAGCTTCACTGAGCCGTGATCTTCACATGCTCTGCTGAGCAGGATCTGCACCCCTGACAAGCCTGCTGGCCTGATGAGTATCATTATCAGAGGGCGCTGCTCACTTCCCAGCCGCCCCTTTCCAAGCTGTGAGCTTGAGGGGGACTGAGCTGGGGAAGGGCGGCGGGGCTCAGTCTGGGATGGCCTTCCCAGGCTCCGAAGGCAAGCACACCGCCACTCCTCCTCGTCCACAAAGATCTAAGACACGTGGCATGAGGAACTCAGGTGAGTGAGGGGTGCCTGGTGGCGCAGGGCGGAAAGGTGGAGAGAGAACAGGCACACGTGGGGAGGGATTTGCCCTTAGCCAGCCTTAGTCTGGTGGCACAGCCCACTCCCAGTGATTTGGGCAGGTTGGGCTGCCGGCAGGTAAGTGCCAACGGTACAGGAAGGGTCCAAGCATAGCAGGTCAAGTGCCTGAAAAATGGCTGTGGGCTCCCAGGCCGCAGGGGCCGACCTGCCACCATTGCTCTGTGAGACCTGATGCCGGCCCCACCCCCGTGGGGACACCGGGACCCACTGCATCCCAGCCCCACACACGCAGGCTCAGAAGAACAGGGCAGGATCACAGGCCGACGCAATCTGCCAAGGGTTCTAATGTTGTAAACACTGATTTATTTAAAAAATACTACAGAGGAGAGATTTGGATTCAAAAAAAACACAGAGAATCATACACAGAAACAAAATGCACTAGACCCAGAGACGCAGGGGAGCCACCGCAGACGTCCAAGGGAGCAGGGTGGGCGCTGTGCACGCGCCACTGATAAAAGAGAGTCTATAAAAGATGCATACCGAGAGATATGGGTACAATACAGTGGCACATCACGTTAACAAAAAGGGACCAGTACCTCATGGAAACAGGCGGTCAGGGGACCTGGGCGGGTGCTTTGCTTTGTCTTCAAGGCCGCTGTCGGTGACTAATGCCTCCCTCGGGCTGGGTCACAGCCGTTGGGGGCAAAGAGGTGATGTGCTGTAAGAACCGCATAAAACGATCCAGAAAAAACCATTTCTACCAGAAAAATAAAGTCCAAGTTTAGGTGATGAGCATAAAGCTAGGGCCCGTGTGAGGCTGGTGGCACGGGGGCGGGAAGGTGGCTCCTCCTGGCTCTCCCAGCGTGGAGACCAGGGGGCAGCCACCTGCCCACTGCTCTTGGAGTTAGCTGCTCTGTCAAGGTCCAGGAGACCCCAGGTCCCTGCCCAGAGTCACAGCCCCCACACCTGGGCTCCAGCCTGGGGCAGCCTCGGGGACAAGACGCCAGGTGTGCTCTGTGAAACACTCGATGCTTTCAGGGGCTTCATTTGTGGTTTTCCTAACACTCCCTGATGACCCCCACAGAACATGAGGCTATGTCACTCATGGTAATTAAATAAGATATTCGCCCAGTTCAGGAGTGCAGCCGGGACTGGTCAGGGCCTTTCCTCCTGTGTGTGTGCAAGTGCCCGGTGGCAGCTCTGTTCTCAGAGTGGCTACACAGAGGCAAGGCTTTGAAATGCTTCAAGAACTCAGAAAAGTGAAGACTGTCTTGTTCCAAAGGAATGGGCCTTGTAAAAATCTCCTTTATCTTACAGGAGCAAGGAGGGGATTGGCCCTTTCAGGGCAGCCAGATGTGTGAAAGGAAGGTTCACTCCGGGCCCCTGCAGACCTGCCTGGGCCCAGTCTGGGGCTATTTGGCACCAGCTGTTCACCCAACCAGCCACTGCCTCCCTTCTGCTGGGGGAGGGATGTGGGCAGTGACAGTGACCTGGACCCTTGAGACTCAAGCTTTCTTGCCAGGATTCACAGTGCACTTCACAAGAGAGCAAGAGCTAGGGTGTAAGGGTCGTGGAGAGGACAGATGAAAAGGACATGGCCCATGCCTCGATCCTTTTCAGCTCCCACCTGCCCAGGACCCAAAAGGCTGGTTGGCTTTAGCACCCTGTTTTCCACCAAAATCAACAGCCGTCCTGCACGTGAGGAAGTGTTGAGCGCACCCCGCCACGGGCAGCAGCAGAGGGCAGGGTGACCGGCCGTGTGCATGGCTGTGCGTGCTCTTCACGAAATGTGGTTCTTGAAGCGCGTCTTCAGCACAGGAGGGGCAAGGCCAGGGAGTGCAGGCAGAGGGCCTGACGCACAGGCCTCAGTCAGGCTTCCATTCTTGGAGAAGTGGAAGGAAAAGGCCCAGCCAGGGGAAGAGGGGCTCCAGAGAGAGGACGAAACGGACACTCCGAATCAGCCGTTCCCACCTGGCCTGGAGCGCCGTCCGGAGCGCTCAGCGGGAGTGAGGCTGGCGGGCCCCAGCATGCCAACTGCAGTCCACGGAGTGGGAACTCCACAGATAAAACTCGAGGACAGAGACGGAGCAGGGTGCCCGGGCAGGGAGGAGGAAGGTGCAGGAGGGCAGGCGGTGCAAACGTAGGTAGTAGAGCTGGACTCCACCGGGTCCTCGGCTCTGCCTGGCGCAGAGCTCCGGGGCCAAGGTGCCGACTCACTGGTCCCTTGTCAGCCACTGTCACAGGTACGGGTACACCCGCAGGCAGCTCCAGTGGGCCTGACACCAAATACCTGGCTGCTGCTACCTCTGCACTATGTCGCTGATTTCCTTCACCGAACTGAGGAGCTTGCTGAAGTCCTGAGTGGCCGCCGGACCACTGCCTGCTGTCGCCGGGCAGATCTGAAGCTCCCGGAGATTATTCTCCAGTTTGTTGATGGCCTCTCGGAAGGCAAACTTGTTCCTCATTTGCTGGATGGAATCCACGTAGCTCACGCAGAACGTGTAGAGGTTTTTGCCGGCCTCCAGGACCGCGCTGTGGCTGGCCATCTGCTCGGAGTTCCTAGAGATGGCGAGGCACAGTGCCTCGGTGCTGTCCAGGACCACGCTCTTGGTGATGGCGCCGCTGGCAATCCGCTCTGGAGGTTGGCGGGTTTTCCGAAGAGACACTCGGGTTGATATGAGAGGGATGAAGGCAGTGGAAGATGGCTGGTCCCCAGCCAGGGCTGAGGATGCTGATGGCAATGTGGAGGGAACGGGGGCTGGGCTGACGGGGGTCCCCAATGGCTTGGCAGACTGTGGCTTTGGAGTGGCTGGGAGTACCGGCTTTTTGAAGCCCTCTCCCAGCTGGCTGGGCTTGGCAGTGTCACTGTTCACAGCATCAGCCAGACTTGCGGCCTTTGTCTTTGCTCCTGGGCCTGCCTCCCCCGCCGCCTCCTGGCTCGGGCTCTGCGAGGGCTTTCCTCCAGCCTTCCCTACAGAGGCTGCTGGTGGGGGCGGTGGGGCAGGTTTGAGCCTGGACAATTTCCCCTTGTCCCTGCCTGGTGACTCAGAGGAGTGCTTGTGCCTCCTCACTCTGGACTCTTCGGTGGGACCCTTGCTGGTGCCTGCTGGTGTGCCTGAGCCTGCTTTGCTGGTGGGGGGCACTGGCTCAGCTACAGCAGGGGTCCCTAAGGCGCTGCCCTTCCCAGCTTCTTCCTTGTGGGGGAGGCCCGAGGCAGGGGCCATCACGGCCTGCCGACGGAGGAGTTTTGGAGTCAGGCTGGGTGGGCTGGAGCCCGGGCTGGACTCCATGATGTCTCTGAAGACCTCATCAGCAGCTTCCTCATTCTTTTTCACCAGCCTGGGTGGGGGTGTCACTGTGCCTCGGGTCACCTGGTCAGGCCTGTTCTCCCCTGCCCTCTTCCGAGGCAGAGCCGGCTTCTCACTTTTGTGCCCTCCAAATGTGGACGAGTCAAACTGTCTTCCGGTGGACTGCAAGTCCCGAGGCAGCGTGACTGACCTCCACTCCGTGTCCTTGGCTCCGTGGGGCACGCAGGAGGCGGAGCAGGAGCGCAGGAAGCGCTTGCTGGAGCTGCTGCCACCCTCCTCCTCGCCAGGGGCTAGACGGCTGCTGGTCAGCGTGCTGGACTTCTTCCACAGGTGGGGAGAGCGGAAGCCTGAGCCCCCGGACTCCCGGAGGGCGCCATTGGGGACCCCAGCCCCATTGCTAGGCTTTGGGGACTTGGCTGAGTCAGCTGTGTCCAAGGGGGTGAGAGCCAGCGCCCCGTTGCTGATGTCCCGGCCCTCTTCCTCGCCGGCCCCTCTGCGCTCCGGCTGGCCGTCCATCTCCCGGAAGGAGCTGCTGCGTTTAGGGGGCGTTGGGGCTGTCTTCTTCTTCTTCTTGATCAAGGCGCTGAACAAGTTGGTCTTTTTGTCTTTGGGGAGAAGGCGCTCATCTTCATTCAGGCCACCCTCTGGGGGACCTCGCTCTTTTCGAGGGAGCAATGGAGACACGGCAAGCTCGTGGTCCAAAGGATCTGAAATGCAAGGGGAAGAGCTGAAAACTCCAGACTGACGCTCCTGTGGCCCAAGCTGGGGCTGCCCCCATCCCATGCTCCCCAGAGAACACCCGAGTGTCTGGGTTCAGACAGGCCTGAGTCTGATAGCCGGCTCTGATGTCCACAGTCCATGAGGCCAGGCCAGCCCCTTCTCTCCACCTGTCTTCAGCTTGCTCACTCGTAACCGTGCTACAGCGTTGTTGTCAGAATGCAGATGACATCATAAAGGTGAAGTACGTGTCACGCTCCTCTCAATAAAGCCATCACTGCTGTTACGACTGTCATCAGGAAAGGCTTTGGGCCAGGTGCAATCCCAGTAGGTATAAGATTGGGAAGTTGAGGTGGGTGGATCACCTGAGGTCAGGAGTTTGTGACCAGCCTGACCAACATGGAGAAACCCTGTCTCTACTAAACACACAAAATTAGCCAGGCGTGGCAGCACACGCCTGTAATCCCAGCTACTTGGAAGGCTGAGGCAGGAGAATCGCTTGAACCAGGGAGGCAGAGGCTGCAGTGAGTGGAGATCGCACCACTTAACTCCAACCTGGGGAACAAAGCGAGACTCCAGCTCAAAAAAAAGGTCTCTCTCCCTGAAAATGGGAACAAAAAGCTGGATAGCTGGATGGCCCTGGCCTCTACATCCCTATACTGGTTTACTTTAAGGCAGCAGCCCCCACCCACATCACTCTCTGGTGAGTGAAAACAATGACAAGGCCAAACAAAGGGTCAAAACCTGCCAGCCAGCTAGGTGAGAGGCCTACGAGGAGCTCTGGGAATAAGGAGCCTGGTTCCACAGTGGGGAAGGGACAATGGGCCATTATGCACAGGAAACATGAAGGGATGACCTCTGACAATTTTCAAATGGGCACTCTTTACATACGAATCACAGTTCATAAGAAATCTTTCTGGTGGGCCAGGCGTAGTGGCTCACGCCTACAATCCCAGCACTTTGGGAGGCTGAGGTGGGCGGATCATGGGGTCAAGAGATCAAGACCATCCTGGCCAACATGGTGAAACCTCGTCTCCTCTTTAGTTCTCATTCTAACCTAAACCTTGTATCACCTGAAATTAAACCAACTCGTTTGAAAGAAAAAAAAATTAGCCGGGAGTGATGGCACGTGCCTCTACTCCCAACTACTCGGAAGGCTGAGGCAAGAGAATCACTTGAACCTGGGAGGCGGAGGTTACAGTGAGCTGAGATCATGCCACTGCACTCCAGCCTGGAGACAGAATCAGACTTCGTCTCAAAAAAAAAAAAAAAAAAATCATTTTGTGTTGCCAAGCTCCTGCTAGTGAATGACAGAATTCTCTTAGAGGTCAGCTGCAAGAAGAGGGTTTCTGTTGGCACTTGTAACTCAGAACAGAGGTAGCAGTATGCATTTATCAGAACCCAAGGCAGCACAGAGGATATCAGGGAATGCCAAGGCCCTCCCAAAACTTTAATCCAGTGGAACGAGGCCAGGAGAGTGAAATAGCAATGAATTATGCACCGCTCGGTTTCAGTGCTGAGCAGTTAATTGACACACTCGGCTCACCAAGAGATCACTATCAAAATACCCCTCAGATGAAAAACTGCCGGGCCTAAATGAACATGACTACTGATCACTAGGTTCTTAATAAGCACAGCGTTCCCACAGAGGCCTTTCCTCCCGACTGCTCAGCCACCTGAAATTGGGAAAAAAAACAGGAGGAGGAACGGTGGAAGATTCTGGAAAGTCTATAAGCCATAACCTCCAAGTGGGTGAGCAAGATGACCCAGTGGGGCAGGAACTATTGTTAATTTGGACTCATTTAGCATGACAGCCTTTTAAATGTGCATTCCGGTACGTAGTATACATGCTATACTCCTGTGGTAGTGGACACATGTACGTCATATGCCACATATATTATGTGGGCTGCACGTTCAGCTTTTTTTTTTTTTTTTTAAACTAATATAAGTACATGAACATCCCACCATAAATCTCCATAAAGTGGGGCTTTGTCCCGTCCCTTCACAGGCATCCAGTCTGCGGTCATTAGAATGGAGTCCACCACTGCCATCCCCAGATGGCTGGCCTAGACCACCACCCCCAATATGGCTTGGCTGTGTCCCCACCCAAATCTCACCTTGAATTGTAATAATCTCCATGTGTCAAGGGTGGGTTCAGGTGGAGATAAATGAATCACAGGGGTGGTTTCTCCCATAACGTTCTCGTGGTAGTGAATAAGTCTCATGAGATCTGATGGTTTTATAAAGGGGAGCTGCCCTGCACAGGCTCTCTTGCCTACCGCCAAGTAGGATGTGACTGCTCCTCATTCACCTTCAGCCATGATTGTGAGGCCTCCCAGCCATGTGGAATTGTGAGTCAACTAAACCTCTTACATTTAGAAATTACCCAGTTTCAGGTATACGTTTATTAGCAGCGCGATAACAGACTAATACACCCCTCAATGCTTTTGTTCAGGTGGTCTGCAGTAGAACCTGGACCACTGGTTCTGGGGGTCAACACAGAACAGGGCCTGGCCTGTAGGCACACTACATGAATGTTGGCAAATATTATTTTTGCTGGTGTCTCGAGACCCCTCCTGAGCTGACTCCCTTGCTTGCCTAGAGAATCGCATCAGAAAGATGCTCTTCCCAGAGACCACCACGACACCGGCTCTGTCCACAGGCGTGTCCTGGTTCCGCCTGGCTGCAGGGAGCTTGTTGCATCAGTGCCTTCGCCGCAAGCTATGCGTCACGCAGCCTGGTGTTGTTGCATCTGCTCTGAGACAGCAACCACAATTGCCGTGGGTAACAGGTGAGAGATGGGCTAGCTCCCTGGTGGGCTTCAGAAGCACCTCTGCCTATGGGACGGAACCCGCTGCTGGAGCCTATGCTCCTTGGTGACTCCCAGAGGAAGGGGACAGGAGGCAGGTGGGGAGAGAACCTTTCTCCTTCCGAAGTTGAACCGTTGAGAAAGGCTGTGCCTGCCCTTCTGTGCAGGCTCCATTCACAGCTTCCCGTTGGCCTATGCTGGCCCGAATGTAGCCTCTGGCAGGGAGGGGAAGAGCAGCGGGGGAGTGGGGGGACATACCGCTCTCTCCCTGGCCCTTGGAGTGAGGCGCCTCAGGCACGTCGGCAGTGTCTCTGTGCTCCGCAGCTCTCCTAGAGGTCCTCGTCTTGGTGGGCAGCTCTGGGGCCTGCAGCAAGGTGCTTGCGGCCCCACGGACGCCTTGCTTCCCCAGCTCCTTTTCCACTTCTAAGAATCACACAGGCACAGAAAAAAAAATCCAGCACCCATCACTACTGTGTCGGCTTGGTATGGCGGTTCTCTCTCTTTGTAAGATAACAGTGCTCATCTGCACACAACTAAAGAAAAGGCACCTGGATGCCGGAGAAACAGCCCTTAGCATTTCTCAGAACTGCAGGGCTGCGGTAGAAAAGAGAGCAACACTCCACACCTCTGCCCACCTTTCGGGTCTCAGCGGACAAGCTGGTCCGTGAACTTCCACCAGGAAGTGAACTCAGTGACCCAGGCCGTAGTCCCAAACAACTGCCCTTTTACCCCACTGCAGTGACCCCAGGATGGGTACTTTACCATCAGAGATACTGGATTCCTGGAACATTGTTTCAAAGGCTTGGTGGATTTCAGCAAAGGACGGCCGGTCAGAGGGATTCCACTGCCAACCTGGACGGATGAAATCCAAGTCAGATCGTCCATGAGGTCTGGCTAGCAGTATAGGGCCAGCAGTTCTCAAGGAAAAGTCTAGAATGAAAGCAGCAATCCAATCCTGCTAACCATCTTTTGCTGCTGCAACAAGTTAAAATGACAAATGCCATCATGTCCTATTATAGACATTAAGAATTTGAAAAGACAATAGATGCTGGCAGGATTATGGATTGTAAAACCCCAGAGAGATGGTGACAGCAAGAACTACATTTACAAATATATTTTTCCCAGACCCACTCTAGTAGGTATAGAAAATTACTAAGCCCAACATTCTTTCTTCATGGTTATCAAGGTCTGAAGTAAAGAAATTCTCATGAAAATAAGACTACATGAGGAATAAACAGCCTGACAAAGCCTAGTGCTGGGGACCGCAGACAGCCACTCCCAGGCGTCTGACCTGAGGGGACACTGGTACAACCTTTTTTAATGGTTTGGTAAGATTTATCAAAGCTTAAAACTGCGTGGACAGTTCTTTGAACCAATGGCTCAACTTTTAGAAATATCAGCCAAAGGCTAGGCGCAGTGGCTCACGCCTGTAATTTTGGGAGGCAGAGGTAGGCGGAACACATGGTCAGGAGTTCAAGACCAGCCTGGCCAACACACTGAAACGCCGTCTCTACTAAAAATACAAAAAAAATTAGCTGGGCATGGTGTTGTGTGCCTGGTAATCCCAGCTACTTGGAAGGCTGAGGCAGGAGAATCACTTGAATCCGGGAGGCGGAGGCTGCAGTAAGCCATTGCACTCTGGCCTGGACAACAAGAGCAAAACTCCATCTCAAAAAAAAAAAAAAAAAAATCACCTTGCATGCTTAGCTACTATAGCAGAAGTTCTGAAGGTAGGGCCCGGTAATCTGTATTTAGGTATAAACCCAGGTTTGGTATCCATCAACACCATTTTTGCTTTAAAAGACAAGTTACACATATACTATCTATCTGTAAATAAAGGTCAATAGAGGCCCTGAAAAAATATGTATCAAATGGCTATAGTAACTGCTTCTGAAGAACTGGAATGGAGAGAGCTAATGGAAAGACTTTTAACTTTGTGTGCACGCTCCTGCGCGGCTGGAATTCCTGCGATGCCCACATACACTTGTGCGAATGGGCTGAGGAAAGCTCACATGCTCGCATGAGTTCGTAGACCTTCTCTGGGCAGCCTTCCGGGCGCTCCATGCGGTAATCCTTCTCCAGCAGCTCATACACCTGGGACAGGTCAATTCCCGGGTAAGGGGACATGCCATAGGTAGCAATTTCCCAAAGCAATACACCAAATGCTGAAAGAAAACCCAAAGGGAAAGGCTGTTCAAGATGTATAGCACTACACTGCATTTAAAATCAGTTACCTCTGCAGCAGACTCAGAAGGGACCACCCCAGCAGTAGCCCAGGCTCTTTATCATCAGAAGACCAGGACAAGGCGGGCGCAGTGGCTCACGCCTATAATCCTAGCACTTTGGGAGGCCGAGGTGAGAGGATCATTTGAGATCAGGAGTTCAAGACCAGCCTGGCCAACATGACGAAACCTCTTCTCTACTAAAAATACAAAAATTAGCCAGGTCAGCCTGTGGTCCCAGCTACTTGGGAGGCTGAGGCAGGAGAATCCCTTGAACCCAGGAGGCGGAGGTTGCAGTGAGCCAAGATCCCACCACCGCACTCCAGCCTGGGTGACAGAGCGAGACCCTATCTCAAAAAAAAGACCAGGACAGAACAAGACCTTCAGTAAACTCACCCCACAGACAAACACGCTGGAGGAGGGCAGATGATGAGTTATCAGACCCTGTGGGATCTTTTAGGTAATGTGACTATCTTTCTGGGATATGTGGCAGAAGGAACCTGGCGCTGGAAGTCAGCCGGCCATGTTAACTCACAGCTCTGTGACCGACCAGCTCTGTGCCTAACTGGCCACCACTATTTCTGGGTGCACAAGACTATCTCCAAAGCCCCTTCTAATTCTAAACATGTTATAAAGATCTTATGAAATCTTTGCAAGTTTTGAAATCCCAGATTATGGCCTGAAATTCCATTTTCCATTAAAGGACAGGATTCCTTGGAGAAATGGGTGATTCAGGCCTGGGGCACAGAATGAACCTGGAATATCTTGCCATTTGAGGGCATGGATGTCATGGAAAACCACAAGGGTAATGTCAAAATGACTAGGAGCTGATGTGAAGTTCCCACTGGCCAAAGATGAGACAATCTGAACGTCAACAGGGAAAATAACTGCAGTGGACTGAAACACATCAAATACATATACATTTGAGAGTTCATAGTAACACCATGAATGACAAACGACAACAAAATCCTATTTGGCCACCACTGAAGGGTATTAAAAAACTAACTTGTGGCACTGCGTGGTGGCTCATGCTTGTAATCCCAGCACTTTGGGAGGCCAAGGCGGGCAGATTGCCTGAGCTCAGGAGTTCCTAGATCCCTGGAACATTGTTTCAAAGGCCTGTGCAACATGGTGAAACCCCATCTCTACTAAAAATTAAAAAAACAAACGAACACACACACACACACACACACAAAAACCAATAGCTGGGTGTGGTGGCAGGCATCTGTAATCCCAGACACTTGGGAGGCTGAGACAGAAAAATTGCTTGAACCCGGGAGGGGGAGGTTGTAGTGAGCCGAGATTGTACCACTGTACTACAGCCTGGGTGACAAAGCAAGACTCTGTCTTCAAAAAAAAAAAAAAAAAAAAAAAAAAGAAACTTGTTATTTTAAAAACTGGTAAATAAAAGCAAAGAAGCAAGAATTGATCCTGCTCTTCCTATATGAACTGCCACTGAGTGAGTGACCAAACAGATAAGGGACTGTTTCTCCTCATACAAGTACTCCACTAATAAATGACTGGGAAGACAGATTAGAGAATTCCCATCTGGTAACCCCTAGTAAACTACTGGATCTAGGCACTGTATATCAATAACTGCTAAAAAATTACCCAACCCCCACCCCCCCACAGAAAAATGATAGAAAATCAAGCATTCTCTCTCTACTGATGGAAGGGCACACCATTTCCTCAGATCCACTCTTACTTAAAAAAAATAAAATGAAACAGTCAAACCTAAATGTGATGAGGCCACCCTTTACTAGGAATACTGAAGCCAGGGGAACATATTAAGTCACACCACAGGTGACAATGAGCAAAAGCCAGAACACAAGAAACTCTGAGGAACAAATGACAGTTTCTTCAATAAAGAAACAGCAAGGGAAATAAAGACACGAAGAGGGGGCTTATAGAAGGGACTGATATAGAAGTGTATCAGCACATACACTGTGTACTGTATTTGGACCTCAGGCCAAATACACTGGGGAAAAAGAAAAAGGTGACCGGGCACGGTGGCTCACACCTGTAATCCCAACACTTTGGGAGGCCAAGGCAGGTGGGTCACCTGAGGTCAGGAGTTCTAGACAAGCCTGGCCAACATGGTGAACACCCATCTCTACTAAAAATACCAAAAATTAGCCAGGCGCGGTGGCAAGCGCCTATAATCCCAGTTACTCGAGATGCTGAGGCAGGAGAATCACTTAAACTCAGGAGACAGAGGTTGCAGTGAGCCAAAACTATACCACTGCACTCCAGCCTGAGCAACAGAATGTGACTCCATCTCAAAAAAAAAAAAAAAAGAAAAGAAAGGCAGAAAAGAAAGGGAACAGGAAGAAATCGGCAGAAAAAGGAGGAAAAAAAAAAAAAGCCTCTTGTAGCTAGGAAGGACCATTCCAGTGCAGCAGTAGCCCTTACCCCAGACATCAGACTTGATGGAGAACTTGTTGTAGGCCAGGCTCTCAGGCGCAGTCCATTTGATTGGGAATTTGGCTCCGGCATGGGCAGTGTAGGTGTCCCCTGTCATCAACCTGCTCAGGCCAAAATCAGCCACCTTCACCAAGTGGTTCTCCCCTACCAGGCAGTTTCGGGCAGCAAGATCTCTGAGAAAGGAAAATGTTGACCCATGAGAGCTCTTGGCCAACTTTCTCACTTCACAAATCCACCACGGCTGAGCAAAGGTGCAATGCTGACAATGGGAAGACTGAGTCCCGTGCCCTGGAAGTTAATGCCCACTGCAATTTGCACAGCACCAACCTCTCAGCAAACACACTCTGAGATCCCAACATGGGGAGAGGCTGGTGCTGGGAGTGGGCTCCCTGGCCCTGTGACCTGGAGTAAGTTAATTACCTTGGGACTCAGTTACCTCATCCGTAAAATGAAGACGATAATGATGGCACCCACCTCTTAGGGTTGCTGTGAGTGTAATTAATTAATATGCTAAGTGCTTTGACTGATGTGCCGGGAATAGTTAAGTGTGTAATGCTACTCTATGCCAGGCACAGAGACAAACAGCCCTTGACTGCAAGAAACTTCTATCAGAGTGCGTCTCCCCTTGTCCTATCCAGACCTGATGGGACAAAACAAAGCCCGTGGCATCCTTTACCCAGACTGTGCTTCCTACTTCCTCCTTTCTTCCTGATGCTCACCCAAATGTATCCGAAAAACTCTCTCCTGTATAATCTGCTTCCTCTCGATTCCTGGTTCTACCAGGGAGGTAGGAGTCTAATCTTTGGTTCACGAACGTTAACCATGAAATCACAAGGCAAATGGGAAGAGGGGAATGAGAGGAGGCAGCAGCTTGAGGTGATGTCCGCATGAGATAGCCTGATCATCAGCAACGAGAGTGAAATCAAATACAGAAGAGTTGTGCCTAAGAGGATTTTGGTAAAGCATTTTAAGTTCGCTTGAATGAAGAAGGAACAGACCCAGCCGTGCAAGGCAAACCAGAAGTCAAGCAATCTCAATTTGCAGCATCAGAGGGTTCACTTTCCTGAAAGCCAGGAGGACGGCTCAGGCTCTCGTGGAGCATAGAAAGTCTGTCTTACAAGGAGCCGCCAGCATTTCACACATGCTACCCTTATTCCTTGCTATGAAGTCTCATGTAGAGGTTTCACACTTGAGCTAATTGGATAGGAAAGGTCACAGTGGTGGCGTGGAGAACATCTCGTATAAAAGACGCCAGCAAAGCCCATCAGGCTCTGTCCTGCACAGCTACTGCTTTGCTAGGAAGCCATTTCCACCAGCAAAGAATTTGAAGACCAAGATAATTGTGGCACATTTGAAGGTCAAAACACTTGAGGGTTTAAAACAGCAAAGACGCTTAATTTAGACCTCCGTATACACAATTCTGACAATTGTGGAAATATCCCTGAACCAGAGGACAGCAAGTTAAGTGGAGAATAAAAAGATAATAAAGAGAAAGCAGGGGAAAAAAAAAAAAAAAACAACAACAAACACACTGAAAAACAAAACCCATGTACTGGCTGTTACCACGAGTCTGTGCAAAAGCAATGGCAGCGGCTCCCAGGGAGAGGTCATTACTGATGGACGCTGGCCCCGGAGGAACAATGAGCACTGTATTTCAGAGGGAGCTGTGACGATTAGGAAGGACGCCTTTTATGAACTTCATTTAATATTCCACTTAGCACAAAATGGTTCAAAAATGAAATATTTCTTATGCCAGGGATTAACTGCTCCGCCGGTCCAGAGTCTAGGCCTGGCTGAATTCAGCCCTGGACACACGCCCGAAGCTGGCTTTGCCAGGGGCCTAGTGTTTGCCTTTGTTCCAAAGTCCAATGTGTTGCGACTGAGGTTAGAAGCTGTGCCCTGAGACTTCCTCGGCTGGGGCTTTTTGTAAAGGCTGCCTGGCTCCAGGCCCCACGGCTCCGAGGCGCAGGCTGCCTGGCCGGGCCCCTACCTGTGGATGAAGTTCTTCTTCTCCAGGTACTCCATGGCTGACGAGATCTGAGTGGCCATGTACAGCAGCACCACGGCGTTCACCTCCTGCCGGTTGCACTCCCTCAGGTAGTCCAGCAGGTTCCCGTAGGTCATAAACTCAGTGATGATATAGAACGGGGGCTCCCGAGTACAGACCCCTGCCAACAAGACACTGAGGACTTCAGCACGTGGCTCTGCTCCCACTGAACAAACAACTGTCTAAAGAAAAAGCCTTCTGAGGGATTCTGACTCTGCTCCTGAGACCTGGGCCCAGCTTCTAGCATGGTCCCAAGCACCCATGTTCCGGGACTGTGCTCACATGGGAGGTACATGGCCAGGCTCCTTTCTTCTTCTCAAGCCAGTGAACTTGAATTCACACAGGGAGAGGCTGCCACAGAGTTCAGAAGCAGACCTGGCCCCAGCCCAAACGACCTTCACCACCGTCAGTTTACCCCCACCAAATGGTTATGTCTACTTACAGAATCACTTCAGTGAGAAAACTCTTGAAAATTCTCAAGCTTCAGAAACTAACTACAGATGTGCATTTGACTGCTCTTACGTATCCACTTAAAATAACTACATTCTCTCTCTTGTACTTACATTTGCATATGTGCCCATCCCACACAGGCCTCATCTGACCAACGGCTGAGCACTGGTAGAGCACAAATGTTCCAATTAGGCTTCGTGTAATGAGCCGCCCGTGCATCTTCCCCAGCGCCTGTGTCACCCTGCGGGTGTGGTGTGAGACCCTCTCTACAGAGCCCCAGGCCTACTCACCAAGGAGCTGGACCAGGTTAGGGTGTTTGATCTCTTTCATGACTGCAGCTTCTTTTAAGAACTCTTCCACCTCCATGGTGTCCTCCTGCAGAAGGAAAAGATGACGGTGAAATTATTTCAGCAAGTGCTTTTAAGTGGGTAAGTACGACTTGAATGGTTAATACAAGCTGGAGCTTTAACGCAGGCTCCTCCTGGGCTGCCTTTTGTGATGGCCACATTGTTACAGACAGGTTCCGTAACAGCTGACCAGCAGCCTGATGACACAAAGAACTTTCCCCTTGGGGAGCAAACTTTTGAATTCTCCCCCAGAGCAACAGGGCAAAGCTGGCTTGCATGTGCAGACAACCTGCTTCTGGTGCCTGCTAGGCAGGCCACACGTGTTTCCCCACCTCTTGGGAGTCCATGGTGGTACAGGAGAGCTACATGGGCAAACACCGCAATCGTAGCATTCTTTCCCCAGGGAACCTGGTTTCCAAGGGGTGCCAACACACTCAGCATAAAAACATCACCTGAAGAGTCTGAAATGTACCTCATGTAAGAGAAGAGAACCTGGTGACAAGAAAGAGATACTGCATCACAAAGAAGAGCGATGTCTCAAAGTATGGTACCAAAGAGGATGCTGAACTGCTCTGGCACGTGGTCATGGGCTCTTAATGAAGCAGTCATCACTGTCTGTCAGGTCAATTACTCAGAGTCTAAAATAATCCTCACCAGCAGCTCCTCTAACAACGAATTCACAAGGATCATCAGTACATGTCACATTTTAACAAGTCCACAGCATCTAAATGCCAAGAGGGAGAAAAAGATGGAGCTTGGGCCCAGCACAGACAGGCCATGACTTCTACAGGTCCTCGCATCTTTTTAGTCTGGGCTCAAGTCTGAAGTGCTGTGGCACTGAGCCCTGGGGACAGCCCCATCACACAGAGCCTTTACCTTGGCCTACATCAGTCAGCCTCTTTTTGACCAAAAAACGCTACTGTCTACTGAACCAGCCATCAAAAAAAGAAGCAGGTGGGTATTAAATGATATGGTCTGTTTGCTGTGAGAGCCTGGCTACAAAGTCCAAAGACGGAAGTGAGATGCCTCCAAGCTTACAGAGTTTGGAAAGACTGTACAGGGAACAGGGAGTGAACGTCTTAAAAACAAGGCTCCCCAAAGAGGAAGGCTTCATCAACTTTCTGTGAAATGTGGAACCTTATATGTTCTGGCCCCTTTGGGAGACAGCGTCCTGACAGTCCTGCTTGCTGTGGCTGCCCTGGTTACCCCACTGCTGCGGGGGAGGCTTCCAGAGGACGGGCCAACCTTTACTTACAGCAAACTTGCTTTGGCCCATCCTGTTTACAAGTGAAGCATGACCAATGAGGCTATGTGTCAGCCCATTATCTCTTAGCTCAGGGCTCCCTGAGACTGAAACTTGGAAACAATTTATTGCTCTTTAAAAATGGTGAGCTGCTCTTAATGTCAATTAAACCTCGTTGGTAGTCACCGTGCCAAGCTGTCCGAGGGGGAAAGAGCTCACCCCTGCAGCCACCCCATTGGCCATTTAATTCTTCTGAGTCCTCTCTGCTCCTTAACGTGCTCAGCAGACCATGCTGCTTTTGGCATGGAGTGCTCTGATTTACCAGGGTGACACGCTAATGTCAAAGGCTGGACAGTGAATGCCTGCCAGCATCCAGGGATTCAATGCTGCTCACGTACAGGACTGGGGCTTCAAGAATCTTGCCTGATCAACAGTATGGTTAAAAAGTAGCTCTCAAAGGAAGCTTTCTAAACAAGTGGGGTTTTTCTTTTTTGAAGACCATGTAATAAACCACACATAATGAAACCATTTCATAAATGTCATTTGCTTTTATAGCGACTGACCCTCTTCTAAGAGACCCATGTTATAATCTTGAGAGGCATGCACATGCACAAGGAGCATGGCTTTCAAAGGCAGCCCTCTTCTCATCTGTCCCTCACACACACACAAACACACGGGAGGAAGGTATAAATAATTCCTTCTTCTTCTTACAGAAAAATCAGTGTGAATTTGTCTCCCCCTGCTGGAATCAGACCTAGTTCAATTTTTTTTTTTTTTTTTAATTTTTTTCCAAGACGAAGTTTTGCTCTTGTTGCCCAGGCTGGGGTGCGGTGGTGTGATATCAGAGCACCGCAACCTCCGCCTTCTGGGTTCAAGTGATTCTCCTGCCTCAGCCTCCCGAGTAGCTGGGACTACAGGCATGCACCACCACACCTGGCTAATTTTGTATTTTTAGTAGAGACAGGGTTTATCCATGTTGGTCAGGCTAGTCTCAAACTCCCGACCTCAGGTGATCCGCCCGCCTCAGCCTCCTAAAGTGCTAGTATTACAGGCGTGAGCCACTGCGCCCGGCAGTTCAATTTATTATTTTAACTATTAACAATAGCCAGCTGAGTGTGGTGGCTCACGCCTGTAATCCCAGCACTGTGGGAGGCCCAGGGGGATCGCCTGCTTATCCTGCAGGAGCAAGTACAGCTGCACGGCCTCTCTCCCTACGTGTGGCCCACCCTGTGCAGCCAGAGAGCCACTGCGTGCAGCTGCCAAGTGTACGGCTGCCCTTCCTTCTTGGCCTCTTTCTGAAGCTCCCCAAATAACACCCATTTCCTGGGAGAAAGAAAATAAAGCTGAAACACACTGTGCTAGGTGGAGTCAACGGGAACTCTCTCAACACCACAGGGGAGTGCAAACTGATGACACAGACTCCTTGGAAGGCACTTTGGCAGTATGGTCAAAGGCATAAATGCTCATGGTCCCTGATCCAGAAGTTCTGAGAAGCTGACCCACCAAGAGACTTTCACATATATGCAAATCAGGATAATCCCTGTGCTGCTGTTTGTAACAGCAAAATACTGGCAATAAGACAAAGGCCCACTGAAAGTTGGTACATGTTAAGAATATATCCACACAAAACCAAGACAACCTTCTGTATATTGATGAGGATACATTATGTGGACAACAGAAAGCAGAGAGCAGCGTCTATAGGATGCTGTCCCATGCTTAGGAAAAGGTTCCCATATGTGGACTCGGGACAGACACAGAGCTCGAGGGTGGGGGGGCATTGTGTGCATACAGTACCTATTGGAAAAAATATATTCTGTACGTTATTTTCCACTGTCTAAGTAGTAAATCTGTCAGTGAGCTCATGAGTCAATCTAAATGTCACAGCCAGATCAACAGCGGTCTTTTCCAAAGTCTGTTACTTAGAGGACTGATCTTAGAAAAAGGAAAACAAAAACACTGCTGTCCAAACTTTGAACACAGCTCATTTAAAAACTGCAGCCTTGTAGCTGGGCACAGTGGCACAAGCCTGTGATCCCTGCCACTCAGGAGGCTGAGGTGGGAAGACTGCTTGAGCCAGGAGTTTGAGGCCAGCTGGGCAACACAGTGAGACCCCGTTCAAACACCTCCAAGACATTAGGGCTTCTTGTACGTGACTGTGGGTTTTCTTAAGCACATCCTCCCTAAAACACAGATAGTAAGACTATGTCCTGCCCGAGACTGTCAAAATTCAAGGGTGCAGTTCCCAAGCAATGGGCCTGTGCTGTAAGTCCAGTTTCCCATATGCCAGGGTCAGCCCAGTGTCCTCCTTTTTTCCTGTTCTCTTCCCTCTTCCTTCTGCCGGGAAGGTACATGACCCAAGGCTGCTTTCCTTGTTCACTGAGGAGTCATGGTTAAAAGTAGGCCCTTGCTCCCCCTGCTGGCAACGGAGGACACTGGCTCTGCCCTTGGAGAGGCCAGCAATAGGAAATGGGCAGGATAGGTGGAAGCTGAGAGACCCAGAATCGGCTGAGGGAAGGATGCTTGGGCGCGGCTGCAAGGATTTTCCAAGGGTTCTGAAGAGGAAGGTAGCTCATAGCCACAACCTGTAAAGGAAGCGAACGGGAGAGTAGGGGAAAAGTTGATCTTTTTTTTAAAAGGCATAACTATGGCTTATGTAAATTTTTATGGTGTTTGAGAAATAAGAATCTGGTTTCAATTTAAAAAAAGAAGAGCTGAGCTGTGGAGCTGAGTGCTCGGGCTCAAATCCTGATGCTGCCACTCCTGGCTGTGTGATGCCAGGCCGGTCACTTAACCTCTCTCTGCTTCCATTTTCTCAGCATTAAAATGCTGATACAGGGTGAATGTCCCTTAACTGAAATGCTTGGGACTAGAAGTGCTTCAGAGCTCAGATATTCTCAGATTTTGGAGTATCTGCATTATGTAGTACCAGATGAGCACCCCAAATTTGAAAATCCAAAATCTGAAACATTCCAATACGCATTTCCTCTGAGCTGCATGTTGGTGCTCAAAAAGCTTTGGATTTAGGAGCAGGTAAGATTTGGGAATTTTAGGGTTTGGGATGCTCAGCCTGGAAGGATCTTAAGGTCGTGAGGAATCAATGAGATGCGGCATGTAACAAGCATGGAGACCTCTGCCAGGCACACAGCAAGGGCATGGTGAAAGCCGAATGTTAGCCACTGCCATGATTTAGAATCCACTCAAGAATTTCAGCTGTTTGTGTGTTTGTTTTTTGGGAGACAGGGTCTCACTCTGTTCTGCAGGCAGGAGTGCAGTGGCGTGATTACGGCTCACTGCAGCCTCAACCTCCTGGGCTCAGGTAATCCTCCCATGTCAGCCTCCTAAGTAGCTAGGACTACAGGCGCACCACCGCGTTTGGCTAATGTTTTGGTATTTTTTGTAGGGGCGGAGTTTCACCATGTTACCCAGGCTGGTCTTGAACTCCTGGACTCAAGCAATCCACTGGCCTTGGCCTCCCAAAGTGCTGGGATTACAGATGTAAGCCACCATGCCCTGCAATTTCAGCTTCTATAGCAAGGGTAAATGCCCAATATTGGCACTAATCTTATTTGGCAAAAAGGCAACATACTGCAGGGCTGTTTTTGCACACGGCCAGGAGGAAGGAGGGCTCATTTATTTCGCAGCTGCTTGGTACCATATTTTCAGTTAACGCACCTCTAGAAAGGGACATATTGCCTTTTCCCTAATTACATACCACTCTGGGTGACTGCCCACAGAAATCCATGCAATGATATCCTGTAATTCTTTTTTTTTTTTTGAGACGGAGTTTCGCTCTTGTTACCCAGGCTGGAGTGCAATGGCGCGATCTCGGCTCACCGTAACCTCCGCCTCCCGGGTTCAGGCAATTCTCCTGCCCCAGCCTCCTGAGTCGCTGGGATTACAGGCACACGCCACCATGCCCAGCTAATTTTTTGTATTTTTAGTAGAGACGGGGTTTCACCATGTTGACCAGGATAGTCTCGATCTCTTGACCTCGTGATCCACCCGCCTCGGCCTCCCACAGTACTGGGATTACAGGCTTGAGCCACCGCGCCCGGCCTATCCTGTAATTCTTTACCAACTGTGAGATTATAAGTGAATTAGGCTCTTGGGAAAAATTATTAAAGTATAATTAACAGCTAAGTAACAGTGTTAGTAAAGCACATTCTGAAAGGCACCCATTTTAGATTCACCGATGTAAAAAACCCATGCCCCAAACCACACTGGTCTCCAGTAGGTTCTCATCTCCTCCTTCAGCCGTTCAGAAAATAATGCCACAGCATCATCTACTGAAGCAGCGTTTCCTCTAATGCCCAGTTGCACAACTTGATCTCTGAAGTTTTCAGACAAGTCTTCACTAGTTGAAATCTCGTGTATTTTGTGCTTTTAATCCTCATTTTACAAATCCTGGTAAAAGTGTGGTGAAGTCTAGGCCTTTCCCAGTTTGCCGGGCTGGTCAAGGCCCTATTTCTCGGGTCTGGTCTTCAACCCTGTGCAACCCAAGGAGCTGGGGCACCTGCACAGCCCTGGCCCTACACTCACAGTCTGCGGTATGCTGGGCAATGGCTGCTTTGTTCTTTCAGTTCTTTCATTTGAGGATAGTGAACTAAACTGCATATGCGTAAAAGTGTGGCTAGAGGTATAAAAATCTGGTATCTCCAAGCCACAAGCGACCCACATTTGTGGGGACTGCTGTATTTACAAGACACCCGCACTGAGTCCTGGTGCTCTCTAAGGTAACAATCTCTGAGAAGCTGAAATCAGATCGTGTCATTCCTATGCATCGATTCTCTGAATGGCTGGCTCCCCACTGCCTCCATAAAATCCTAGCTCCTTAGCCAGGCCTCAAGGCCACCGTGACTCACCACTGTGCCTCTCGTTACCCCCCAGCTCCTGTCCCTCGGCCAAGCCATGCTTATTCACCGCAGCCCACCACACACAGCTCCCCAGTCCCTCCTTCGTTCACCCCCGGTGGCGTTCCGAGGATTGCTGTGCTGCAATCCTTCTTGCTCCTACTACCTGGACCACCCCATGCCTCAGGTGAAGAACTGTCCCATTCATTTTCTAATCCCGGTGTTGAGCCCAGGAACTGTCAAATAGAAGTGAGAAACCTGAAATTTATTCAATTAAGAAAAAGTCTGCTGGGTACGGTGGCTCACACCTGTCATCTCAGAACTTTGGGAGGCTGAGGCAGGCGGATTATGAGGTCAGGAGTTCAAGACCAGCCAGGCCAACATAGTAAAACCCTGTCTCTACTAAAAACACAAAAATTAGCCGAGCATGATGGTGTGCGTCTGTAGTCGCAGATACTCGGGAGGCTGAGGCAGGAGAAACACTTGAACCTGGGAGGCAGAGGTTGTGGTGAGCCAAGATCACCCCCCTGCACTCTAGCCTGGGCAACAGAGCCAGACTCTTGTCTCCATAAAAAGAAAAAAAAAAAAGAAAAAAGAAAAAGTCCAGGGCCAGGTGTGGTGGCTCAGACCTATAATTCTAGCACTCTGGGAGGCCGAGGTATGTAGATCACTTAAGGTCAGGAGTTTGAGACCAGCCTGGCCAACACAGTGAAACCCCATCTCTACTAAAAATACAAAAATTATCTGGTCTTGATGGCAGGTGCCTGTAATCTCAGCTACTTGTGAGGCTGAGGCAGGAGAAGCACTTAAACCTGGGAGGCGGAGGTTGTACTGAGCTGAGATCATGCCACTGCATTCCAGCCTGAGCAAGAGTAAGACTGCATCTCAAAAAAAAAAAAAAAAAAAAAAGAGGAGAAGAGAAGAGAACGAGAAAGAGAGAAGAGAGAAGAGAAGAGAAGAGAAAGAAGAAAAGAAAAAGTCCTATCTGAGAAATATCCAGGGTCCTTAAGGTGAGCCAAAAACATGTCCCCACCCCAGTGCCAGTCCTGCCCCTGGTGTGTCGAATAACAGCATCAGGAAACCACCTTTGGTTTCTAGGACTAAAGGATGTGATCTTTTCTCTAAAGCAGGTGCTTTAATCCAGCCAAAGATCATACTTCCCATTTCACTATGCCTTTGAGTGACGGCATCAGGTAAGTCACAGGGTCCCTAAAAGGCAGGCATGTGGCCACAGCAGTCTCAATGTGTGCACCTGACTTCTGAGACACATGCACAAACTAAGCTCTATTTTTCCCAGAGGTGGATGTTTCAGTTTTTTTCTAATAGCTACAAAAAGGGGCTCCCTCTCTTGATTTCTGTGCAAAGGTCAATGTAATCAAAGTTCATTTAAAACAAGTGGAGATAATGTAAGTCAACACTAGGGGGCGCCCTCACCACAGGGAAAAGCCTAGATCACATTTTGAAGAACACGGAGGGCTGAAGATGAAAATTTCCTTCCCTTGGCATCCTAAGGATTTCAAAGAACTTCAAAAGAAGAAAAAACATGTCTGGAAACTACAAACACTATTCATTAGTGGAGAGGGTGAAAGTCGCAGTTAACAAGAACGGACGGACTGTATCTGAGTTGGTAAAAAGCGAGTTTCCCTTGACACCTTTCTCGCGGGGGCACTTCCAGCTCTGCCTGCAGGAGTCCGGGCAGCTGCAGAACTGGAAGCCACTGGTGATGCCTTCCAAATCGGCCAACAAAATTCACACAACAGTCAAACACATTTTGGTTACATCTTCTTTCAAAACTCAGAGATCCTTTCTTCCTCCTTAACTCTCCGTAGGAAGTGATCTCCATGCTGCACAAACAGAATGGAAATCCACGGCTTTAAGAGAATCTTGCCATAGAATGAGAAAACTTCTCCAAATGACTCATCTTTTACACCAAAACCCCTCCAAGCTTGTCAGCTCTCACCATGTGTGGAAACACGCTGGGACTATGAGAATGATTCCACTCCTATGAAGAAACAAGGATGACCTAGGACTGAAAAGTCAATTCCTTGGCACCAATGAAGCCCTCAGATGACAGGTGGAAGGCAGGCTTCTGGGCAGGTGCATCGGGGGCTGCCCGCAGCCGCCTCACCCCAAGTACCCTGGGCGCCCCGGCGGTCCCGGCCTACCTTCAAGGTCTTCACGGCCACTGTCAGGCTGTACTTCTTCCACACGCCCTCGTACACCTCCCCGTACTGGCCCCCGCCCAGCTTGTGCTTCATGGTGATGTCGGTGCGCTCCATCTCCCACTTGTCATAGTTGGGGGACACACCGTAGACAGTAGGCTTGTTGCGCTTGGGGGCTGGATAATGGAGCGTGGTGATGAGCCCGTCGGCCACCGTTGAGTGATGATGAACCAACTCCGCCAGGGTGTTGAAGCGGCTCTCGGAGGAGACGTAGAGCTGAGGGAAAGAGGGAACAGCTTCAGCCCGCAGAGACAGGCCAGCTCAAAGGGCTCACGTGAGGCAGTTTGGCTGAGCCTTAATTCACTGCACAGCAAAACCTCAGATAAGCGGTTCTCCATACAGGACCGAGTGTTTAGAAAACCACTTCTGCTGTCTTTCTCTCTCTGTGCTGTAACTTACTTGCTCAAGCAGAGACACGATAAAAGGTCCCAGGGCCTCTGTACCTGCTGCTGCTCCCTCTGCCTGAAATCTCCCACCCCCCTCATCTTCCATGCCCAGTTCTCACTTCCCGTTCCAAGGCCAGTTTAAATGTCGGTGAAGTCTTCCCCAATCACCCAATCTAAAACCACCACCGGGCACGGGTCGTCCTAGCACCTGTCTTACTTCTCGGCACTGGACCCACCACTAGCTCATAATTTCCTGTTTATCTGCTTAGTTACTGTCTGTCTCGACCTAATAGCAGGGAAGTTTCATGAAAGCAGAGCCCTAAGCTGTTTTCATTCCGATGTTGGGAACAGGAAATCAACATGTAACAAGTACTCAATAAATAACTGTTGATCAAATTAGCACACAGTAGAACTTGGTGGGTATTTGCTGGTAGGAAAGAAGAATTTATTTAATTTGTAATTTAAAGGGAAAAAAACCTAGAATGAAATAGTGATTAGGAGATGAAAACCACTAAATACATCCAACATGAGGAAGCAAAAGGAAGGATTTACGACACAAGATCACCACGTGGTCCCCACGTGAGAGCCACAGCAGGTGAGGACCTGGGGGCAAACCCGGCATGCAGAGTTCACATCTGGACACAACGGAGATGGAGAGGAAGGAGAAAGAGCAGGCTGGCAGAAAGCAACAGGGGGTGCCAGCTACCTGTTTTCTTCTCATTGGTGTGGCAAGGGAATGCTTCCTTACCAAAAACAATTCCACGTTAAAATCCACACAAAATATCTGGACTCCAGGCACATAACTGAATCTATTGGCTTGCTCAGGGCAGCCAACCATCACTGAAGGTGAAAAGATGACTTAAAAACACGACTGGGCATCCAGAAGCCTTGCCCAAACTGCAAAGACGTGGGGAGAAGAAACAGATTTGGGATAGTGATGATGCTTGGGACGAGAGGGAGAGAAAAGGGAACAGGATCAGGCTTCGCCTATAACTGTTATACGTTATTACTTGAAAAAAGAAAAGGGTTCTGGCTGAGAGTGTCTCTTTGAGGATGAAAAAAAATGGGAAGAAGCAGCCTGAAATATACACAGCTGGGCCAAGGCCTTTGGCTGTGGGTTACATCAGGCACCACTACTATAGGTCTGTAATAGTAAATAAGAAAAATATTTTTAAAAGAAGGTCGCAACAAAATGTACAAGTCAGTCCCATCGACAACTCTCAAGAAGCTAAAAAGGATTTTTCAACAGCGAGGTTTCTCTTTCGTTTTGCTTGGGGAGATGACACAAGTGCATTCCTAAAACTTAGGCAAGCCAAAGGCACACACTTTGGGGTTATAATCTTTTGGTCACAATCTTACTAAAATAAAATTCTGAGAAAGGCAAAACTTGTCCAGAAAGATTGTTCCACCCTGGGGAACTTGCTCCTGGTATAAGCAGTGTGGCCTGGGGACACTGGCTTATCACTTTGTAAGACAGGGCCTCTGAATGGCAGGACTTTTCAGGATGTGGTGGCCCCGATTGGATTCTTGAGAGCTCTGAAGAGAAGCGTCTGAGTGATTTGCTCTAGGGACATGCCATGGGTCATGCTCAGACCCACGAACGCGCACACAGGAATGCGTCGGGGAGCGGAAGTCGGCCCCGCTGAGGCTGCCGTTAGCTTCACACCCACACAGTGATGTCCACTCACTGGCTTCAGTGCTAGTCACCAGCACAAGTGCTGTACACAAAGAAAACTGAGTGCACCGTGGGGTCAGCCCCAAGTCCCCGCCCCTCCGGAAAAGTCTGTCAGCTGTCTAATGACTTCACTGCAGGTGGCAAGTGCTCCCACCCCTCTTCTCCGTTAGCTCAGCGGATGGCGTGTTCCCCACCAAGGAGACTAGAGAAGACGTTCCTGGAATCAGAGCACCACTCCCACCTTGGAAATCAGTGGCACGGTACCGGGTCACAGAGCCCGTGTGGCCCCAGGGCAGGGCACCTGGGAACAAGTCTCATTATCCCTCTCTCCCCTCCGAGCAGGAAGCACACAGGCCTCAAAGGAGTGCTCCCCAACTGGTGGATCAGGTCCCTTCACTCCAGCATGGAATGCTAATGGCTCCCCTAAGTCCTAGTTTGTGGCAGAATTTGTTCTTGGGCTCATTTGATTCCCCCATAGGTTACTGTGTGAGAGATTTCAGTTACAGGCGGTTTCACTGAAAGGCCCAATTTTATCCTTTTCAATAATTAAATTTACAGACCTTGTGACTTAGTTCATTTTTCAACATAAAACTTACATACTGACACTTACTAAATATTAAAATCATTTTCCCTCAAATGCATGGCATATTCGGTTCACAGCCGTCTTCCCCATGTCCCATTAACAGTCAAGGCTGGCACTTCCTTCTGATTAGTTCTAGTTTTTGAGCAGCATTTGCTGGGGAACTGTGTGATCATCAGGAATTCGTGGCATGTTCAGGGAAGAAAGTCAAGTTAGTGTCATGAATGTCATGTCATTGTGCTATGCACCTCGTTCCATTAACACTCAGGTGCTCGGCCAGGGCTGCTGCCTCTCCCTAATCATGCATGAACCTAAAGGATAGGACTTGTCAAAGAAACTCTTAGAACAGCGTTTTGCAGGGTGCAGTGGCTCACACCTGTAATCCCAGCACTTTGAGAGGCCGAGGCAGGCAGATCACGAGGTCAGGCATTCGAAACCAGCCTGGTCAACATGGTGAAACCCCACCTCTACTAAAAATACAAAAATTAGCTGGGCATGGTGGCAGGCACTTGTAGTCTCAGCTACTCGGGAGGCTGAGGCAGGAGAATCACTTGAACTCGGAAGGCGGAGGTTGCAGTGAGCCAAGATTGTGCCACTGCACTCCAGCCTGGGCAACAGTACAAGACTCTGCCTCAAAAAAAAAAAAAAAAAAAAGAAACAGCATTTCTTCTGACAGGCCTAACGGAGTTTAGACTTGTGCAACCTTTGGCTGCCTTGGGCCCTTGGACCCGAGAGTCCCACCTCAGACATACTGTTTACAGGTTGCTCAGCCAGGAACCTCTAGTCTCAGAGTTCCCCCGAGAGCTGCTCACACACAGCGGGAAGGCAAGCCCTGCAGTACACAAGAACGGTCCAAGCTCCTCCACAGGGCAGGTGAGCCATGTGCCTGCTGAGCCGCGGTCAGGGCGGGTAAACCTTAAACATCCAGAAGGCTGTGCAAATGGTCCCTTCCTGCCACTCTATTGAAGTTTCGGGCCCTGGATCTGTCACTGCAGCAGACCATGAAAATAAATGTCAACTGGGCAAATTTCTTTCAAGAAGGAAAAGACTCTATTAGGGCCTAGAAGGAATGGAGGAACATGACAGTGGCATCTCACAGGAGTCAATGAGGTGTGGACACAAACATCCAGAACTAAGAACTTTAGGCGGGAGGCGGTGAAGAAAAGTCAATCTTCAGCTCTGCTAAGTCAAAAGAGGGTTACAACTTTGGGAAAGTATCAGAAAAATGAGAGGCAAATCCCAGGCTATCCAGAGATTTTTGAGACAGTCAAGGCTCCCAGGAAATGGCAAAGGCTCAGTTCAGCACTGGTCCCTTCAAGAGTCCAGCTCAAAACCCCCAGTCCCCAGCTCTGAACCTTGAGCTAGTGGTCCTGGGCTGACTACTGAAAAGCTCACAACACGAGAAGAGAGGCAAATAAGAGCCAAGAGGGTGGAGGCAGAAAGAAATCCTTTGGGGCCTCACAGAAGAATCTTCTAAATTCAGTTGTTTTCTAAAGATTAGCTAATTTAAAAATAAGAACTAAACTTATTCAACCCCAGCCTGTTCCTCCTACTAGTATTAAATTTTCCTCTCCCAAAAAAGGGGCTGGGCATGGTGGTTCACGCCTGTAATCTCAGCACTTCGGGAGGCCGAGGTGGGTGAATCACCTGAGGTCAGGAGTTCGAGACAGCTTAGTCAACATGGTGAGACCCCATCTCTACTAAAAATACAAAAATTAGCCAGGTGTGATGGCACATGCCTGGAATCCCAGCTAGTTGGGAGGCTGAGGCAGGAGAACTGCTTGAACCCAGGAGACACACGTTGCAGTGAACTAAGATCACGCCATTGCACTTCCAGCCTGGGCAACAAGAGCGAAATTCCATCTCAAAAAAAAAAAAAAGAAATCCAAAAAGGATTTCATCGAAGTTCTGCTATGTGAGCAGCATTTTTTTTAGCACCAAGCCACAGGGTCACAAACACACAGCGGTGGGAACTCCCTCTAATGATGTTCTGTCATTCCAGCGATATGATCCCACCCAACACATCGCCCTCCAGTGCGGCCCTCACAAGAAGGAACCTCTTCAGATGGTCTTCTAGATGACGCTGTGGGCTCAGGAGTCCCCAGGTTCCCAGACAGCTCATGGGAGACTCTTTGCCAGGAAGGGAGAAAGGAGGCAAGATGCCAAGGAAAGTGTGATGCGTTGCCCAATGGGGGACACTGTCTGGTCAGATGAGCTCCTTGTGCTCTACCTGGAATGAAACAAACTCACCTGGCACATACGAGCTTTTAGACAGAGGCATCTTAGGCAGATTCTCCTCCTTTGAATGAATCTCAAATTCTGCAAATCACGTATACCGTATGTAGGCCTTTCCCTGCCCCTTTGAACAGTATTTTAGACCAACCCCTAGCTAATGAGCTGTCACACTAGATCATGCCTGCCTGCATCTGTTCCAAGGTTGCTGATTAAACAGCTCTAGGGAAAAGAAACCATTATCCTGTTCAGTACAAACCTCAAGTGATTATCTTGGTGCAGCATGACTTGCCTGGGATAAATAGCACAGATGGGAAGCAAGCTGTCTGCTCCAGAAAATCACCCCCCATGGGCGGTACACTCTGGTGCTCTGATTCACTAGAAAGGTACCCTCATGGTCTGAAGGCTCTTTCAAAGGGCCTTGCAGTACATCCCTCAGAATGGAAGGACGTAGCTCCACCTCCAGGATAAGAACAATAACCCAAAAAGCAAGTTGACAGGCCCATGTCTGGTCACACGTGGACAACACGCTCTGCTTGGTTTAGTGGCTTACAACTAGAATTAAAAAAAAAAAAAAAGAAATAGAACAGAATGAAATACAAAATATCAGGCCGGGCGCAGTGGCTCACACCTGTAATCCCAGCACGTTGGGAGGCCGAGGCGGGCAAATCATGAGGTCAGGAGTTCAAGAATAGCCTGGCCAACACAGTGAAACTCCGTCTCTACTAAAAATACAAAACATTAGCCAGGTGTGGTGGTATGTGCCTGTAATCCAGGCTACTTGGGAGGCTGAGGCAGGAGGATTGCGTGAACCTGGGAGGCAGAGGTTGCAGCAAGCCACGATCACGCCATTGCACTCCAGCTCGGGCAACAGTGTGAGACTCCATCTCACACACAAAAATAGTCAGAGCGTGTTACATACAGTGGGGGCAGGTAAGACTTCATGAAACTTTTGTTATATTGCGAGGGCTGGGTGGTGATGTAAAATGAGTTTTTCTTACAGGGAACCCAGATTTTTTAAAAAGTTTGAAAGCCACCTCGTATCAGCCTTATTTATAATAACGAAAGACTGGAAACAACCTCAAAGTCAACCAGCAGGGGAACCACTGAAATAAGAGACAGTCCCTCCACGGTACACAGTCACTGGTAAGAATGAGGCAGCTCTAAACCTGCTGCCATAAAACACTCTGGAAGGTGTATTATCACATGGGAGAAGCACGATGCAGAACAGCCAGGAGCACGCATCATTCGTGTGCCTTTTTGAATATAAACATCTATATACTATCTATGTCCAGGTAACTCTGGAAGGAACTGGTAACAGTGCTTGCCTCTAGGCAGGAAAAGTGAATTAGGAGACAATTACTTTTCACTGTAATTCATTTTGTTCTTTTGATTTTTTTTAACCATGTGGATGCATTATCTACTACCATATGCCAGGCTTCTGTGGGGGAGGTGCTATTTAAAGTGGTCTTTCACTTTAAGGAAGTTTAACTATTATTTGAATTTTTCTCATTGAGGATGATTACTATCATTGTAAAACATATTTTTAAAAGAAGGAACCTTATTGTAAAAAACGTGTCCAAAACCCAACAGATATTCCACCTATTTTAAGTAACTTTCCAACAACAAAACTCTAGCAAAACAATAAGAGAATCATACCAGGCCCAAGAGCTTGTAATCTCACAGAACCGATCCTCAATAAAGGGTCTTCATGAGGCTAACAGAATGACTCCTACTGTTTACTTGAAAGCTTCCTTAAACATCATCTTCTTGGCTGAGCTTTCTTGCAATAACTTATCAACCCGAGAGCAGGACCTCTGGGTTCACCTGGCCAAGGACCAACTACCACTGCCCCTGCCCTGGGCCCATCAGCCCCCTGCCGGGGTCCCTACCTTGCCATCAGAAGCAGTGTTGATCCTGTAATGGTACACCCTCCCTTCATATCTCAGCGAGATGGACCTCTGGCCAGGACTGCTCTCACTTTCCCGCACCAAGAAGCTGCCATTGATCCCACTGCTCAGCAGATACTCAGCGGCATTGCGGGACACAGGTCCGTGGTACCAGGAGTGCTTCTCCAGGCTGTTGACTGGCGTGATGTAGTTGCTTGGGACCCAGCCTTGGCCATTTTTGGTTTGGGCTTCACACCATTCCCCATTGTGATTATAGCCTAAGACCCGGAGCTTTTCACCTTAGAAGAAAGGAACCAAATCAGACACGTCAGCTTTGGAAACCAGCTTCATTATTTTTTCATTAATTCTTGTATAATTACTAAAAATCCCCAAGTTCCTAAATATCAATTTCATTTCAACAAGTCCACATGAAGATATGCATTTACAAGTGTGTAAGAATACATGTTTATATCTGAAGCTTCCTGTTTGTACTGAATAGATAGGTAACTACATGGCCTCAGTTTTTATCAATCATGTTTATCCAAGTGCTCCGTTCCTAATATAAGACACCATTGTAGGGAAATAACGGGTTTTCTTAGGGGAAAAACTACTTTCAGTATTTGGTCCAGTTGTTCTTTTCAGTATAAAAATTAGGGCAAGTTGTGTTTTTGCTCGGGGCTACTGTACAAGAACTCCTCTAAGGAGAGAAGACTCCCATAGAAACATGCGCTGGTTGTTTCCGACGTCCCTGCATTCCAGACTTCAAAGCAACTCAATGAGCAGAGGGTGGCAGGTCAAGCCTCAATTCCACGATCTCTGTCTCCTGCAACCACCACCAGCTGCCCACAACCCTTTTACCTTTAGTTATGCTTAGAGTGTTATCTCCACTGGCCACAAAATCATACAGTGCAACAAAAAGGTTGGGGTCATTTTCACTGGGTCCAGCGAGAAGGTTTTCCTTGGAGTTCCAACGAGCGGCTTCACTCAGACCCTGAGGCTCAAAGTCCGAGGCTACTGGCCTCTGAAGGGCTTCTGGAAGAGAAAGGGGGGCACAGAAAAAAGAAAAAGGAAGAGAAAATTAGGAGAAAAGAATAGTTTTATTCTCAGAAGCAAAGAAAGTTTGTTTCCAACATTATACACTCCTAATTTATTTCATTTCTTAATATCAATACATATTATTATTATTAAAGTGGATTTTCAAAAACTCTTCCTTTACTAAATCTTGTAAAAAACATCAAGTATTTTAATTCCAAGGTGGTAATTATTGTTCCCAAATAGATGGAGCTTCTAAAATTCATTCATTCAGTATGAGTTTAGTCAAATGAAAACTGCCGATCCACATGTCTTTGCCTTTTGCTTTGAAATATGCAGTGAGCCAGGTGCAGTGGCTCACGCCTGTAATCCTAGCACTATGGGAGGCCGAGGCGGGTGGATCACCTGAGGTCAGGAGTTCAAGACCAGCCTGGCCATCATGGTGAAATCCCATCTTTTGAAAAAAATAAAAATAAAAATAAATAAATAAATTATATATATATATATGCAGTGAAAGTTTCCTGCTTTAGCTGGGCGCAGTGGCTCACATCTTTGGAGCCAGCACTTTGGGAGGCCGAGGTGGGTGGATCACCTGTGGTCAGGAGTTCAAGACCAATTTGACCAAGATGATGAAACCCTGTCTCCATTAAACATACAAAAATTAGCCAGGCATGGTGGCGCACACTGTAGTCCCAGATACTTGGGACTTCTGCTGAGGCAGAAGAATCGCTTGAACCCAGGAGGCGGAGGTTGCAGTGAGCAGACATCACGCCACTGTACTCCAGCTTGAGTGACAGGGCGAGACACTGTCTCAAAAAAAAAAAGAAAAAAAAAAAGAAAAGAAAAATCAAATAGTACAGAAGGGCTTAAAATGGAAGACAAATACTTGCTATCCCAGTCCTGTCTGCTCCCAGAGGCAGAACTGTTTTTTTGGTGATCACCCCCACCTCTCTAAGTATCAGCTAGATCACTGGACACACACCTACACTGCTTGTTCTTCCAGCTAGGACAGCGCCTCTCAAGGACCTACTTCACAAGACAAGGCTATTAATGTCTCACCCTTCCTTCCAGCTTTCCTGCCCCCATAGCCATCCTCAAATATGATCTTCTTTACATTTTTTTTTAACCTTGTAGAAATTATTATTGCAGAATAGAAAAATCTGTTACTAAACTCTTCCATGTTTTATCTGAAACAGATTCTAAAAGTTGGAAATTAATCAACAGCTCTTTTAAATTAACAAAATGTGTGAATATTATTCATTACAGGGTCAAACAGGTTATTATTTGTTCCTAATGTTTCTTCTTGTCTTTTTTTTTTTTTTTAACAGTGCTCAAATTCTCCAGAATTTTTTTGTGATAAACACAAGGTGTAGACAGGTTCTTTGATTTGCAAACCAGCAAATCAAATCACCTCAAGTAGATCTTACAGTTGAGGAACATTGTGGGTGAAATCCAAAATACTCATTTAAGGAATTACAATTTAAAAATCACTAGCTGGGCTGGGCATAGTGGCTCACACCTGAAATCCTAGAACTTTGGGAGGCCGAGGCAGGCAGATTGCCTGAGTTCAGGAGTTCAAGACCACTTTGGGCAACATGGTGAAATCCCATCACTACTAAAACACAAAAAGCTAACCAAGAGTGGTGGCGGGGTGCCTGCAGTCCCAGCTACTCAGGAGGCTGAGGCAGGAGAGTCACTTCAGCCCAGGAGGCAGAGGTTGTAGTGAGCTGAGATCTCGTCACTGCACTCTAGCCTGGGAGACAGATATAAGACTCAATCTCAAAAAAAAAAAAAAAAAAGAAAAAAAATTTTAAAAAGCCATAAAAATAGAAATCATTAACTGAATTAAACCTTCAGGAGATGTTTCTCTGAAAGAGTAAATCCCAAATTATGTCACTATGATGTCTGGTAATTTTTATGATCTTAAAAAGAAAGGCCAGGCATGGTGGCTCCCGCCTGTAATCCCAGCCCTTTGAGAGGCCAAGGTGGGCAGATCATCTGAGGTCACGAGTTCAAGATCAGCCTGGCCAACAATGTGGCGACACTCTGTCTTTACTGAAAATACAAAAATTAGGCCAGGTGCAGTGGCTCATGCCTATAATGCCAGCACTTTGGGAGGCCGCGGAAGTTGGATCACCTGATGTCAGGAGTTCGAGATCAGCCTGGCCAACATGGCAAAACCCTGTCTCTGCTCTACTAAAAATATAAAGATTAGCCGGGCGTGGTGGTGGGCACCTGTAATCCCAGATACTCAGGAGGCGGAGGCAGGAGAATCATTTGAACCCAGGAGGTGGAGGTTGCAGTGAGCAGAGGTCGTGTCATGGCACTCCAGCCTGGGTAACAAGAGGAAGACTCTGTCTCAAAAAAAAAACCCAAAAACAAATGAGCTGGGCACGGTGGTGTGCGCCTGTAATCCCAACTACTCGGGGGGCTGAGGCAGAAGAATCAGTTGAACCTGGGAGGTGGAGGCTGCAGTGAACTGAGATCGCCCCACTGCATTCCAGCCTGGGCAACAGAGTGAGACTCCACGTCAAAAAAAAAAAAAAAAAGAAAGAGAAAAGAAAAAAAACAGAGAGGAAAATCCTAATTTGAAAAGAATTGAAGGATCTATCAGATGCTTGAGTCAAACACAAATGGTAACAAAATTATGTTTTAGTTTTCCTGCTTTATGGATTTAGAGGATCCCTAAGCATCCTTTCTTGGGTAATAATACCATATCAGGGGTGGGCCTGATTCTGAATTCTCTTTAAAAAAAAAAAAAAAAAGGGAAGTTTTCCGCCAGCGGACCGGGAAGTCGCTGAAGATAGAGCGATGGCAGCTCTGGGGCCCTCGCTCTGGGGCCGACCTGAGGCCAGTGGCCCCCCCCCCCCCCCCGGTAGACCGGACTTGGGTGACAGGCTCTGGGTTCCCGAGGGATGGAAGGGTCTAAGACGTCCAACAACAGCACCATGCAGGTGAGCTTCGTGTGCCAGTGCTGCAGCCAGCCCCTGAAACTGGACATGAGTTTCAAGATCCTGGATCGTGTCACCATCCAGGAACTCACAGCTCCATTGCTCACCACAGCCCAGGCGAAACCAGGAGAGACCCAGGAGGAAGAGACTAACTCAGGAGAGGAGCCATTTGTTGAAACTCCCACCAGGATGGTGTCTCTCGCGGATTCATCCCCCCAGCCAGGTGCCTACTACTTCTCAGCCCCCTATTCTTTGCCAAAGGCTAGTAGAATTTTAATTAAATCCAGGAATCAAGACCTGGAGCCAGGTGATGAGAGGCATCATCACCTAGCCTTTTGGCCCTTTTGAAAAAGATGTATTCCCTATACCTGGCCCGTCACCCAGTCCAGAATGGATTTTTTCCTGTAGCCATTCACACAATGGGAAAGACAGTAGCTCTAATGACAAAGTATTGAGAAAAATTGAGGGAGGGATTAATCACTAATAAAAGACATGGGCTCTTGAGAAGTTTCAAAATCGCAAGTGTTGTTAGATGTGCCCTAGTTCTCATATCTGCAGGTAAAGAGGTTGCTGGCAAGGGGTTATTTTTAAATAAAGGGTTAATATTAAAAAAAAAAAAAAAAACCCCACCTGAGAGACTAGACTAAACTTCTGCAACATGACCAGAGAACTTTCAGAAATGGATGTGCTCTAAAATATCTCTTTGGGATAAACCAACAGAATATAAGTAATCAAGGTCTTCAAGTCTAGCTTCTGTACTACTAACTGAAGTCAACCTTAGGAACTATTTCTCTGAAAGAGTAAGTCCCAAATTACCTTACTACGACATTTGGTAATTTTTCTGAACAGTGAGGGCAAAGATAATTTCAAGAAACAGGGTCTTGTAACACTGCCATCTCCTAGAGTGTGGAAGAAGCTTAGTGACATGTTAGGCCCCTTTCCCGAGTATTTACGCTGGCTCTAGAAGTACACCTAGTGCCATCACTATTAGGGATTATCAATGTTATTAAAATATGTGACCCCCACCCCCACCTAGTCTACGTCGGTGTGGAAGTCTTGACCGCAGGGCCAAACACTGTCCTTTGAAATGTGGGTATGTGGGCTGGGCGTGGTAGCTCACACCTGTAATCCCAGCACTTTGGGAGGCCGAGGAAGGCAGATCATCTGAGGTCGAGTTTGAGACCAGACTGGCAAACATGGCAAAACCCTGTCTCTACTAAAAATACAAAAATTAGCTGGGTGAGGTGGTGCACACCTGTAGTCCTGGCTACTTGGGACACTCAGGCATGAGAATTGCTTGAACCCAGGAGGCAGAGGTTATATAGTAAGCTGAGATCACGCCACTGCATTCCAGCCTGGGCAACAGAGTAAGACTCCATTTCAAAAAATAAAAAAACAAAATGAAATGTGGACATATGATCAGAGCTTGACGTTTTCTTCTGTAAGGCCTACCTATAATGTGAATGTATCATCTCACTTCCAGCTTCAGTTTCCTACACACAGAGGGAGAACTTAGAGCTATTCACTAAGCATTCCCACTGCCGAAGCTTTCTAAATTCCGGTAATCCATTCCAATCATTTATAGTTGTCTTACACTGAATTCTGTAGTAATTTTTATAAGTTATCTTCCTTTGCTGAGTCTTTCTAAAGCATTCGTCTTAATTTTCCTAGAAACAATTCTCTTCTCACACTTGCATTTCATTGGCTTCATATTAACCAAGTAATTGCAACAACAGATAAATTTGGAATAAACACAACTGGCTCTCGTGGACAGGAGCATGTGCAGCAGCAGACGGTGGTAGTGAGGCTAACCTATCTCGTGTGCCATGGGGCATGGGGACGAGGGGGGCATGTTTTATAAGGAAGTGAAGAGTGCTGGTCAATTTAGCAAGTCAGTCAAGTGGAAGCCAGTTAAGAGCTTCCACTGCCATTACATTAAGAAAAACCACCAGGCAGAACATTCTTGACACACAAGGACTTTACATGCCAACAAGAAAAAGCAAAATCCCTCCAGTACGGAAAAAAATAGACAAAGCCATGAACAAGAAA